AAAATCAATCAGGTTCTTAAAAGAAGACTTTTATTTAAAAAAAAAAAGTAAAAGAATCACACCTGCAAAATCAGGATGGAAGGTAACTTTACAGGGTAAATAAAAAGATTTAAAACACAGAGAATTCCCCTCTGACTCTGCTTTCCAGTTACAAAACAGCAATGAAATTTCCTCTTAGCATAGGGAAAATTCACAAGCAAAAACAAAAGATAATCTAATGCATTTCCTTGCCTTTACTTACAATTTCTGTAATTTTAGATGTATCATTTCAGGTATGTTTACAGGAGATGTTTTACCTGCTTGGTGTCTCTCTCTGTCCAGAGAGGGAACAAACAAAGAGAGCACAAACAAAACCTCCCCACCCCCAGATTTGAAAGTATCTTCTTTCCTTATTGGTCCTTTTGGTCAGGTGCCAACCAGGTTATTTGATCTTCTTAACCCCTTACAGGTAAAGGAGGGATTTTATGCTACCCTTAGCTGTATGTTTATGACAGGATTATTGCATGAATGGGGACAGTTACCACCACTTGGTGCTATTGTTTTAGGCTGGCTGCAAACTCAGGCAGACAAATCTGCATCAGTCCCACTCCCTTCACATTTTCAAGGGTTTCTTTGCATACGTGAGAGCTGGTGGGCATACTGTTTATTTTAAAGTGAAGTTAAGATTCTGGAGCAGATTTATGTTTTTAGCAGGGGACAGAATTTAAGGAGCTGCTTGGGGAATCCTCCGACACTGTCCCCAGGGCAGCACATTCCCCCAGCAGTGCGGGGACTAGGCAGAGGCAGAAACTGGCTTTTCCTCTTCCTGCTCCTCACCTTGTCCCAAGAAAGTCAATCTGCCCTGGGGTGCTGCACAGGGAATGTGGCTGGGCAGGGCTGGGAGCCGGGAACCTCCCTTCCCACTGATTGCTCCTGCTGCCCCTGCCAATCTCTCCTCCCATCTCCCTCCTGCCCCCTCTCCTCGGGCTGGGAGACTCAGTCCCTGGCCCGGTCCCAGGGCGTTCGCTCTCTTGGAGGTGGCTCGGCTCCTGCAGGGGCTCAGGGGAGCAGAGCCTGGGGGGTGGGTCAGGGAAGGCAGCAGCTCTGGGACTTGCAGACCCCCGCCCTCTGCAGCAGCAGAGCTGGGGCGAAGAGGGGCCGTTGGTGCAGAGTCACTTTCCTGCCCGGTCCCAGCCCTTTCCCCCGGGTCTCTCCTCTCACCTGGAGTCTGCGGCTCAGAGGCTGGTGTCAGCAGAGTCCGGGGCTTCCTCCGGGGCTGGTTCCAGCCCCCGGAGAAAGTCACGCTCCGGCTGGGCACGGAGGCGCATTAATGCAGATCTCTCCCTAACTACCATTGCCCTTCCCTTTTCCTCAACAAAGCTCTTCCCTGCAGAAATGTCGGGATTGCAACCTCCCCCCGCAACTCACTCACAGGCTGAAGACAGGTCCCCAAAACTCTTCAGCTGCTGTGACACAAACTCACCTGACGCCCAGGTGCCCCAGAACATCAGGAAGTGAGACCACAAATAACACAGGGGACAAATGGGAACCTACCCTCCCCCACCTCCAGCGGTGCCAACCAGTCCTCCCCCAAACACCATGGCCCTTCTTGCTTCTTTACTAATGGGCCATTGGAGCTTGAGTTTACAGCAAATCAACCACCCCACGCTTCCCCCTGGATCTTCCAGATTCCGTCTTGTTCCTGAACAGAGAGGATCCTGCAGAACAAATAAACACCCAAGCCCTGCTGCTATCTAGGGCTACAGGCAGCCCGCTGGACCATTGGGACTCTTCTGCTGTGAGGGATTCTCCTGTGTCCCCACAGAAACACCCCAGACTCCCAGTGTCTCCTTATTTTCATTGGCTGGATCCACGGAGAGGGGAGGCCAGTGCTGATGTGGCCATAATATCTAGACTCACCTGTAAGTATCCCCTGGGGCCTGGCTTCATGGGAGTGGCGAGCTTCCCAGCTTTGTGGGAGCCGAGCCCCCCAGGAACTGAGGAGCACCTGCCCGAGCGTGGGCAGCCTGGTGAGGAGGTTGAAACGTCGTGAGAACTGACTGAATACAGCCAGGGAATTTGCGTTTATAACTCTGGGATGTCTGACAATCAGTTACAGGGTGGAATTCATGCCTGGGACAGGGGCCAATCAATGGTCTGAAAACACAGCTTTTGTGAGACTTAGTGCACAGCCCTGACGGGGGTGCCCGGGGTGGGGTGGTTGCTATGAATTGTACGACGGGAGCACCTCAAGGCGTTGAGAACCGGCCCCCATTGTGTCGCGATGTGCAGACCCCGAGAGGGTCCCTGCCCCAGATAGCTCACAGTCTAAACAGAGCAGGCAGGATTATTACCACCATTGTGTGTCACGCAGGGAAATTGAGGCACATACAGATTAGGTGACTGGCCTGAGGTGATACAGGGAGGCTGAGAGAGCGGTCCCAGCCCAATGCCACAACCAGCCTTCTTGCTACAGACTCCAGGACTGTGACCCCTCAGCTCAATTGCTTAGAAGGGGAGTGGGCCAGAAATGACTGAACCCATAACAGTCAATCTGGTCCAGTTACACATGGGCTTACTAGTTCTTTTCCTGGGCCCGCCTGGGGCATGTGTCTTCGAAGAAACGTTCTTCTGTTGTTAAGTCTGTGATGTGGTTTCTTTTGTGCAGGGAGGGGCAAGCAGTTAGGGGAAGCTTGCAATCTGCCTTCATCTCTCTTAACTAGTAACTTCTGGGGGAAGACTTGCTCCTGGGGAAACAGACTCTGGAGTTTGCACTGAGAGTCCTGAAGAGGGTGGGCGGGGGGGGGGAGGAAAAGGGGGTTGCCTGCATGCTGTTTGTGACCACCTCTGCTCCAGGACTGATGTATATAATGTAATTACAAAGTCCCAGAGCAATGTGCTTCCTGCTGCCATTCCAGGCTCCATGCAGCCTCCCTGTGGCCAGGCTCCCATCAGCCCCAGGGCACTTATATGTTGGGGATCCCCTTTGATAATCCTGGGTTCCAGTAGTGTCCCTACCGCCAGCACCCCCTGCACAGGTGTTTGTTACAGAATGTATGAACTGCAGGTGTATTCCTACATTGATGCATGTGACCTGAGTGTTTCATTGTTTCCACACTTTTTATTGGGTAGCTTTTTTATTTAAAAAAAACTCCTAATAACCCTGGGAGTTATTTTTTGCTAACATTTGCTACTTACATAACAAGCGGCCAGATCTCCAACAGTGTTCAGCTTGTACATAGACCATCCCGCGCGCTGAGCTAGTCAGAAAATCTGGCCCTGCTTGTGGGTGCTTTGGCCCATACAACTTCATGGGATGAAGTCTCCTAAATCTGCTCCTTTCTAAGCTCGCACCCCTCTGTCCCCATCAGAAGTAACTTTGGAGTCTCCTCTCTGGATCCCCATTACAGCAGATAGTGGCTCTAAGTCATACAGAGATGGGGTTAGGTCCTCGGACATCAGCCCTTGCTAGACGTTGGAGAATCAGCATCCCACGTTTGATTTCAGCTGCAGACATCAGTGCTTAGATTAGTGCATAGACTTCGTGCTGGCCCTCTGTTCAGAGAGGAATTATAGCTGGGGCCTCCAAAGGAGCTTAAGGGAATTAGGCACTCGTATGTATTGACTTGACCCTGCTGGCCATGAATATGCAAGCCTAGGCACCTGAAATTCATTGATGTCAATGGGTGCTGGGTACCTAGAAGCTTTTGAAAATCCCACTAGGTACCTAAATTCCTTTAAAAATCTGGCCCTATGCGCTGAAGTTTCCTCCTCAGTCCAAGGGTTACATGCACCAGCCCAGCTAAATAATGCTCAGCCTGTAAGGGCATATCTGCACGATGCTGTAGGCGGTGAGAAGCCTCCAGCACAGAACAGCGAACGCCTAGCCCCCACCATCCGGACGTGAGAGCAATGCAATGCCGTCTCCTAGATGGCGCAGTCCGAGCAATGATTGAGAGCTCAGCACAGACCAACACAGGTCTCAGAGGCACCATACAGACTGAGCTGCTGACACCCATGAGGATCTGAGAAGTCATAGAATATCAGAGTTGGAAGGGACCTCAGGAGGTCATCTAGTCCAACCCCCTGCTCAAAGCAGGATTAATCCCCAGACAGATTTTTACCCCAGTTCCCTAAATGGCCCCCTCAAGGATTGAACTCACAACCCTGGGTTTAGCAGGCCAATGCTCAAACCACTGAGCTATCCTCCCGTGTCTCAGGGACTGTGTCAGCTAGCTGGGTGTGTGGCCCAGGGGCTGTATGTTGTTTTTGTCTTGGGGGACGGGGTGGAGTGATAGGATCAAGGGGAACCCCTTTCTTAGTGCTGAAATCCAACACCCACAGGAGCTTATTGATCATGAAAGCTTCCCTTGCTCAAACCCTCTGGCATGCAGAGATATGTGAAGGAAAAGGGCCTCAAATTCTACACATCAAAAGGGTTCAGGCCTCATGTGTCCCTTGTCCAAGGACTCACACAGAAAACAGTATGTCAGCATCGACAGCAAAACTGCCATTGTTTGGCACAGTCTCTCTCTCCCCACAGGTCACAGTGACAAGGGCTCTTTGCTACTTTTCGAAAAACAATAACAAAACCCCACTAACTTATTACTGAACGATTGTTGCTTCAGAAAACTAGCTTATGCAAAAGGCCGGGATGGAAAAATATTTACCAAAGTGATTCCTGAGTTGACTCCATTACCAATAACAACAAAAAAGTCAATAAGGAGGCATCAAAGGCAAATTCACTTGCACAAACTCTTGAGGGCGAACTCTCAGAAGAAGGTGAGGGAGAGAACAGTGTCTCGGCAGATGACTCATGCACCATACGCCCTCTGTCCAAAAGGGCTCACACATACAGCTGTGAAAACAGAGCCCTGGCCCAAGCAGATGTCTCACCCACCATGTGCCCTCTGTCCGGAGTGCTCACGCAGGCAGCTGTGTATGCGGCCACAAGATCAGCTATCCTTGCAGGGAGCCTTGTCCCCTCAGATACCCAGAGCAGCTCGGCTGGATCTAAGTAGGGCACTTATAGCGCTTCTCCCCCGTATGGGTCCTGTGGTGTCGGATGAGGTCCGAGCTGCGGTAGAAGCTCTTCCCGCACTGGGCACAGGCGTAGGGGCGCTCGCCAGTGTGGATGCGCTGGTGGGTGACGAGGTTGGAGCTCTGGCTGAAGCTCTTGCCACAGTCGGGACAGGTGTAGGGTCGCTCGCCCGTGTGCACGCGGTGGTGGGTGATGAGGGTGGAGCTCTCGGTGAAGCTCTTGCCGCAGTCAGGACAGGTGTAGGGGCGCTCGCCGGTGTGAGTGCGCTGGTGGCAGATGAGGGTGGAGCTGTCCACGAAACTCTTGCTACACTGGGGGCACTGGTAGGGGCGCTCCCCAGTGTGGACACGCTGGTGCCGCATGAGGGAGGAGCTGTCATTGAAGCTCTTCCCGCACTGGGTGCACTTGTAGTGCTTCTCGCCGGTGTGGATGCGCCGGTGCCGCAGCAGGGTGGAGTTCTCGCTGAAGCTCTTCCCACAGTCGCCACAGATGTAGGGCTTCTCGCCGGTGTGGATGCGCCGGTGCCGCAGCAGGGCTGAGCTCCAGATGAAGTTCTTCCCGCAGTCCCGGCAGGCGTAGGGCATGTCGCCCATGTGGACCCGCTGGTGCTGCACGAAGTAGGAGCTGTCGCTGAAACTCTTGCCGCACTCCCCGCAGACGTAGGGCCGCTCGCCCGTGTGGGTCTTCTGGTGCCGCACGTGGGTCGAACGGATGCTGAAGCACTTCCCGCACTCCTCGCACCGGTAGGGCTTCTCGCCCGTGTGGGTGCGTTGATGCTTGATGAGGGTGGAGCCGTGGCTGAAGCGCTTCCCGCAGTCGGGGCACTCATATGGCTTCTCGCCAGTGTGGATGCGCCGGTGTGCGATCAGCGCTGAGTTCTGGTTGAAGCTGTTCCCACACTCGGGGCACTTGTAGGGTCTCTCCCCAGTGTGAATCCGCCGGTGGATGATGAGGGCTGAGCTGCTGCTGAAGCTTTTCCCGCAGTCCTCACACCAGTAGGGCCGCTCCCCAACATCTTTGAGCTGATTGATACCTCTGCCCGGGTGGGATGATCTGCTCTTCCCTGTCCCTCGAGGGTTTCCCTGCTCAGGACTCTGGGAAACATCCCCTTCGGCTCTTCCCGATACCACGCCATGTGGTTCCACTGGCTCAGGACCTTCCTGCTGAGGGGTCTCCTCCTCACTCTCACTCCCCGTACCATCACCTGCTGGGACAGAGAGAGAATGCAGACAGGAGTCAGGCCCTGTGCCGGGGGAAAGGGAACCTCAGAGTGGGAGGAAGAAACCCAAATAACTACTGGAGAGAGAAAAATCAGGAGAGAGTTCCTTGGCCACAAACCATCCTTCCTGCTGCAATGGTTTTCTGGCTGATGTAACCAATTCCTCACCTGTGCAGACATCACTTAGGAGTTCCGGTTCCTCAGACTCCTGCAGATCTGGGGTCCACAGCTTTTTCCTCTGCTCCATCCAGGAGATCACATCAGGCTTGGTGGTGGGAAATCCTGCTTGAGGGAAAGAGAACAGGCAAGATCAGGGCTTGCGACATAGCCAGAGAATATTTATTATAGAGACGTGATTTTAACCCCATCTCTGTGCTGGGAAGTTGGGAGAAAAGGTCCATGGACACGCTCTGGGAGAGTCAGATGTCTGCTGGCGGATGTGTTGTGTCACTATCGCAGATTCAGAGATTCCAAAGCCAAAAGGGACCATTGTGTTCATCTAGACTGACCTCCTGTATAACACAGGCCAGAGAACTGCCCCCAAATAATTCCTAGAGCAGAGCTGATAGAAAAACACTCAATCCTGATTTTAAAATTCTCAGTGATGGAGAATGCACCATGAACCTTGGTAAATTGTTCCAATGCTTAATTACTCTCACTGTTAAAATGTACACCTTATATCTAGTCTGAATTTCTCTAGCTTCAGCTTCCAGCCAATGGATTATGTTAGACTCTGCTCTGCTAGAATGAAGAGCTCATTATTAAACATTTGTTCCCCATCTAGGTACTTATAGACTGTGATCAAGTCACCCCTTCACCTTCTCTTCCGTCTGAGCTCCTTGAGTCTATCACAATAAGGCAGGTTTTTAAATACTTTAGTCATTCTTGTGGCTCTTCTCTGAACCCTCTCCAATTTACTAACATCCTTCTTGAATTGTGGGCACCAGAACAGGACACATACATAATATTCTCTAATATAATACAATATTAAAATTTACATATGCCTATAAGTGATGAGTCGAAGTGAGACACTGACATTGTCAAAATGAAACGGCTTGACTTTCTCTCATTGAAAATTTAATTGAAATGGACACGTTCTGGTGAGACATTTTGATTTTGATGAAATGGCATTTTTTGACGGAAAACTGTTCAGTTGCAAATTTTTTGACCAGCTCCAACCATGGATGTGTCCTTGAATCTCCTCTCCCAGGGGAAGGGGAGTGAAAGGGACAGTCACTCTTTGTAACACACGCACACACACTGTGGGGCTGATCCCCATGAAACCTAAGGGAGTGGAAAAGGACCCCGAGTAGAACCCAAGCCAGCTGCTTCAGGGACCCCACAGCTTCTAACACCTGAGGGGACAGGAACCCTTCCTTATGACATCCCTGTAGAGGGGCTCTCTGACCTGGGTCCATCAGAGCCCACTGCTGCTCACTGAAATACACACATACCTCCTCGAAGGTCACTGGCTCCTGGAACAGCAAGAATCCCCCACTCAGTGAGCCACAGTCCCACCCGCTCAGTTACTGGCGCCCTGAGTGCCCCGTATTAAATACATCTCAGCAGCTCATTTCCTTCTCAGCACCTTCTGTTCTTTCAGATTCATTGTTCCCCCCTCCTCACCAGCAGCCCCTGACCATCCCCTACCTGAGCCGGCTGCTCTGCAGCCATTTCCTGTCCCCGAATCCCTGGAGGACGGTTTGATCTGGAGTGAAACCTGGGCGTTATCCTGCAGCCTGTCAGGGTGAGAAGGGCGATTGGGGAGGTTTCAGAAGTGGCTTTCATCCATTTCTCACCCTATCCCCTTTCTGTGGACACAGGAATGAAGTTCACAGAGCGTTCAGCCTCCAGCCACCTGAGCACACCTATGCAGGGGAGCAGCAGACTATCATAAACTGGGCTGGCAGCACCACCTATTATTAAGATTGCCCAGTGCACCCTGTTTTAAGAAGCTGTTTTCAGTGGCTTATAACTTTGCCAAACATAAACTGTTTGGCCTGATGTTTTCAATGCCAGATCTCTGCCTCAGGATGAAATAGTTGGGAAAATTTCAGCCAAAACAGTCCAGCCATTTCTGAGACTGAGGCTAGGAAAAAATACGTGGTTTTGCCCATGCTGAAAAATTTGGACACCCTTTTCTTTGAAAAGCTCAAGCGCCCCCCATGCTTTGGAGTAGGGTGTTGTAATGCAACTTGTGTGCCTTTTGCCATGCCCGGGAAAATGCAGCCGCAATTGGCTAATGTATATGCCTTTGCGCTGCCTCTAACCCAATCTACAGAACTCAGCGCTGACATGAGGCAGAACTGATTCCTCTGGGTACACGTCATGCACCCCTCCTCCTATCACAGTGACAGCTCCGACAGCCTGCTCCAGTTAACCCCTACACCAGTCAGTGCAGCTGCACCTAACGCAGCAAATTCAGGTGGGGTGCATGCTGGACTACAAATCTATGGAATAAAACCCAATGTCTCTCGGTCCCCTTCATGTCTCCTTTGTATGGCAGCACTGTTATTGAACCCACTCCAGTGCATAGGGCCAGCTCTGGGGGCCAGAGTTATGGCAAATGTAATCCAAAACAGCCATTGCAAGCACACTGGGCCAGAGAAAGGTGAGGAGTAACAAATTGAGACAGGGAGACCCCCATACACCAGAATTTGCTACCACTGGCCCCAGGGGATGAAGGTAGAAAATTCTAACAGGGTAGCACAGAATGATACACCCGTTGTGTCAGATATTAATACCAGAAGCAAACTGGGACAGGCAGCAGTTTGTGACCCTCCACCTGACTCTCCTTGCAACTGCTGCTCCAGACCATGGTGGAGCTGGGCACCAGAACCGAGAGCAGGGAGCCTGTCTCCCCTACACTCACAGTGACCCCCTTCAGGCACTCACACAGCACCATGGAGGAAGTTGTATGATTAGAACGCAGTTGGAGCAAAGGCAGACCAGTCAGGGTGGGAGGGGGGAAGGAGCAGACTGGCACAAGGACTGGGACTGGATGTGGAGGGAGGGAAGCAGGGACTGGCTGGGCAAGGAGACTGGGAGCCATGGGGGAGACTGGGAGCCAATTAGGGAAATAGGGGGATTGGGAGCCAGCTGGCTGTTGAGAAACACTGAGGTCAGGAGAGGAGCTGGGAGGAGTGGGGGGAGACTGACATGGGCTGAACAGTCTGTCTAGGTTCTTGCACCCAGGTTCTATCTAATTCTTGACGCTTCTTTCTGCATAGCAGCTGTAAGACACGACCTTGCCTGTCCCACACACAGCTCAAACACCCCACCAGGCTCTCCATTACTGCAGCATCCTTTGCACCCGGAGCAGGGGGACTGGAAGCTGGGTTTCCCCCATGAGCACACTAAGCACTGGGCAGCAGAGACTGTTTTACCCTCTCACTGGCCCAATGAAAATTTAAATAGTAATGCATGGCGGAGCAGCTGCCAGAATGCCCCATGGCCAGGGCACTCCCCTGAGAGGCAGGAAACCCTAATTAAAGTCTACACTTCCCCATCAGGCTGAGACAGGTGACCCAGGCTCATTTCTCTCAGCTTGGCTGAGTGCTCCAACCCCTTGGCTAGAGGGTAAGAAGAGGCAGAGGGAGGGGGCGGACTTAGGGACCTAGGTGTCCCCTAGAGGGACAGGGCTAAGGACTTACCCCTCTTCTCAGCATTTCCTATTGGATAGCTCAGGCTGGTTTCCCTGCTAGCGGAGCATGTTCCTAGTTGCCTTACTCTCTCCATTCATTATACAGGTGCCTAACTCAGGCCTGTGCCTTCCACTAGGCAGCAGGGCACCTGTACATCAGGCATTGCAACCCAGGTGGAAAGTGGTCTAAGAAAAGTGGGAGGCCTGTTGTAACCTGGGAACGGCAGCTTTGGTAAGACAGCACTCAAAGTGTGTCCCTCGGAGACCCGGCTTCATTAAGCTGCTGGAATCCTGTGTCCAGTTTGGGGGTCCACAATTCAATAAGGATGTTGATAAATTAGAGAAGGTTCAGAGCAGAGCCATGACAACGATTAAAGGATTAGAAAACCTGCCTTACAGTTCTGGCAAACTACCACCTGGCAATTTCCTGGTCCCAACTTCTCTGTAATTATCACAGGCATTGGAGCTGCATCTTGATTTAGAATCATAGAAGATTAGAGTTGGGAGAGACCTCAGAAGGTCATCTAGTGAAACCCCCTGCTCAAAGCAGGACCAACCCCAGCTAAATCATCCCAGCCAGGGCTTTGTCAAGCCAGGCCTTAAAAACCTCTAAGGATGGAGATTCCCTAGGTAACCCAGTCCAGTGCTTCACCACCCTCCTAGTGAAATAGTGTTTCCTAATATCCAACCTAGACCTCCCCAACTGCAACTTGAGACCATTGCTCCTTGTTCGGTCATCTGCCAGCACTGAGAACAGCCAAGCTCCACCCTCTTTGAAAACCCCCTTCAGGTAGTTGAAGGCTGCTATCAAATCCCCACTCACTCTTCCATTCTGCAGACTAAATAAGCCCAGCTTCCTCAGCCTCTCCTCATGAGTCAAGTGCCCCAGCCTCCTAATCATGCCCTCTGTTGGACTCTCTCCAATTTGTCCACATCCTTTCTGTAGTGGGGGATACAAAACTGTACACAATACTTCAGATGTGGCCTCACCAGTGCCATAGAAGGGAATAATCACTTCCCTCGATCTGCTGGCAATGCTCTTACTAATGCAGCCCAATATGCTGTTAGCCTTCTTGGCAACAAGGGCACACTGCTGACTAATATCCAGCTTCTTCTCCACTGTAATCTCCAGGTCTTTTTCTGAAGAACTGCCACTTAGCCAGACAGTCCCCAGCCTGTAGCCGTGCAACTGATTCTTCCGTCCTAAGTGCAGGACTCTGCACTTGTCCTTGTTGAACCTCGTCAGATTTCTTTTGGCCCAATCCTCCAATTTGTCTAGGTCACCCTCCAATATATCTACCTCTCCCCCCAGCTTAGTGTCATCCACGAACTTGCTGAGGGTGCAATCCATCCCATCATCCAGATCATTAATGGAGATGTTGAACAAAACTGGTGCCAGGACCGACCCCTGGGGCACTCTGCTTGATACTGGCTACCAACTAGACACCGAGCCATTGATCATTACCCGTTGAGCCCGATGCTCTAGCCAGCTTTCTATCCACCTTATAGTCCATTCATCCAATTCATACTTCTTTAACTTGCTGGCAAGAATACTGTGAGAGACCGTATCAAAAGCTTTGCTAAAGTCAAGGTATATCACAAATATTTAATAATGGGCTCTTCAATCTAGCAGAGAAAAGTCTAACATGAACCAATGGCTGGAAGTTGAAGCTAGAGACCCACAGACTGGAAATGAGGTGTAAATTTCTAACAGTGTGTGTAATTAACCACTGGAACAACTTATAAGAATTGTGGTGGATTCTCCATCCCTGACCATTTTTAAATCAAGACTGGGTATTTTTCTAAAATATCTGCTCTAGGAATTAGTTGGGGGCAGTTCTCTAGCCTGTGCTGTGCAGGAGGTCAGACTAGGTTATCACAATGGTCCCTTCTGACCTGAAAATGTAAGAAAAAAAAAATCTTTTGCCAAGTCTGCAACCCCTTGAGATGCTTCACTCCCCCCGCACGCACACACACTTTAAGCACTGTTTCCAATGTGGAGTCTAGTCCCTTTGTGGCTTTAGCCCTTGGAGACTCCAAGCAACGGAGAATCTGTTCCCTAGGTAATTGGTTTCCACAGATAATTACACGGACAGTTAAAAACTCTGCTCCTTAAAACAGGGGGATCGAAGACAGTATCTATGCAGGAGAAGCTTTCTGAGACTACAAGGCTCTGCAGTCGAGCAGACAAAGACAAAACAAGATCCAGTGGCTGGAGTTGGGAGTCAGTAAGTTCAAACAGGAAATGAGACGAGTGTGATCACAGTGAGGCATCGGAACAGAATACCAGCTGGCTGGGCTGGATATAGGGATCACTGGGTGAGGAGCTCTGATCCGTGTGATGCAGGAGGACAGGACAGATTATCACAATGGTCCCTTCTGGCCTTAAAATCGGTGATAATAAATATTTACGGTAACTACATCTAACCACTACAAACTGGATCACAGGTTAGAAAACACAAGTTCTTCCAGGTGAGAGCTGGGATCGATCCTTCTGCATCATGTTTTCAACTCTGGTGATACTTATTACTGTGAGTCTCACAATATTTAGAAAGCGACAAAGAGTCCTGTGGCACCTTATAGACTAACAAACTTATTGGAGCATAAGCTTTCGTGGGTGAATCTGACGAAGTGGGTATTCACCCACGAAAGCTTATGCTCCAATATGTCTGTTAGTCTATAAGGTGCCATAGGACTCTTTGTCGCTTTTTACAGATCCAGACTAACACGGCTACCCCTCTGATACTTGACACAATATTTAGAGTTCATCATACAGCCCCAGTTCCTGGAGTCTTGTGCTCATGTGTGAATCTCAGCTAGCTAGCTTGCTTTCTTGCTAGTTTCCAGCCCTTGTGGTTGGAAAGAAAACACGACCCTTTACAGGCTTGAAAAGCAAAAGATAAATAAAAAGAATCCAATGCGTGTTAGATTTTAAAATCATGTTTAAAAAAAAACACCTATCTTTTTGGACTCTGGCGCATGACTTTTTAGCATTTGGGGTCAGCAATTCCTTATGATATTTTGTAGCATTAACATTCTAGGTATGGAGTATGTACAAAAACCAGTCATCCTGCCAATATATTTCTAGAGGCTGAGCTGGCAAAGTTGATTGCTCGGAGCTTTGCCATTCCTGA